ATATGTTTTTTTCAAAGTTAAACTTGCATTAATTTTACATGGCTTTCTAAACATGCGGCTCCTTTGTGCGTGATGCGAGTGCAATAGTGATAGATGTTCCTCTAGAAAATGTGCGAAATATGTGTTCTGTGTGAGCGGCTTGGTTTCAGTTTTGATGTAAACAAGATCTTCTCCGCATTAATGTTCTCTTTTTTCGCAATATTTTTAATGAACAACGCAGCAGCGTCGCATCTAGTGGCTTCAACTGGATAGGCTAACAAAAACATTATAATACAATGACACTTACATCGTCATCTCGTGCGCCTCTGATAAGGCTGCCTCCGTAATGCACACCTAATATTCGAATGCAACATTTTTGCATTCGAATGTGGATTTTTATTTTAAATTCGACGAATATTCGAAATTCTAATTTTGTTTTGACAGCCCTACTTCTTTTGAACTGATGAACTGCAACACCCGCTGACAGCCATTAAACAGCTTGGAAGATCAAAGACAATTTTTAATATAACTCTGACTCGGATGACCTAGGATGCCTTGAGGGTGAGTAATTCATGAGCTAATTTTGATTTTTGGGTGAACTAACCCTTTAAAAGTGCTTAATGTTGTGTTATTGTCTGTCTTGTTTGCTTCTTTTCTGTGTTTCCTTTTCTCTTTTAATTTTATTTTACATTGTTAAGCACGTTGGATAGCTTTGCTATGTTGAAATATAAATAAAATGTACTTACTTACTTAATGCAAAAGCACAAAACTCAAAACAACTGCATTCCTGCTCATTAAAAGGCAAGCTATCATTCTCTATATAGTCAAACAACTGTAAATATACATAACTGTGGCTGCAACCTTCATAAACATTAAAGAGAACCTCAATATTCAAATTAGTGTTTAATCAGAATAGATTTTTCCAATGAATTACTTTTAGACTTTGACATTTGCTCCTTTAATCTTGATTATTTGGTTACTTGTTTGTATACAACAATTCCAGCCAGGATTCAGTAAACACAAATGGGATTTCCATATCTGTGCATTTCATTTCCTCTCTTTTTTGGGTTCACTTATCAGTTATTATTAATCTTAGGGACCTTTATGGGGCTGCATTCACTGTAAAGCTGCCGCTGGAACAATGAAAGGGGCTGTGCAAATAAACTGGATTGAACTGAATTGTTGTAATTTATAATTAACTGGTCTGTTCTCTCTATGTGTGGGCGCTTCTGGGTGTGAAATGCATCTGGGTTCACTTACACAAACGCGTGGTAGAGCAGCGCCCATCCTCGTGGTCTCTCGAGCGCGTCGTAGATGAGGTTCTGAATCCGTCGCTTCCTGATATTATTCCTCTTCACGGGACGTGTGTAGCCCAGGGGCGTCTTAGCGAGCAGACCGATGTTCTGCGAGCCCCGTTTGAAGTCCGGTTCCCTGCCCGAGCCGACGAGCAGCAGCGCGCCGTCCCGTTCCTGCCCCGCGCACTGCTCCAGGTCTGCGGCCAGCGCGCTCTTCCGCTCGCGCGAGTCCTCGGCACCGTTAGTGGCATTTCTGGACCTGATTCCCATGTTCACTGCTCTCGAGCCTCGGCGCCGCGCGTGTGGAAGACCGGGATGGGGCGCATGCCATGATCCGGACAGGGAAAGCGCGAGCTCCTTAGTGGCCGTGGGTCATTTAAGGACCTCGTTCAGGAAGGGAGGCGCGAGGATGGGCTGTGGATTGAAAAAAAAAATTCAAATCTGTCAAAAGCACGCGCGCTCACATACATGACGTTCGGTAGCCGGAACGGTTCTCGAATGTGCATCCCGATGTGAACGGAACATCAAACAGTTTTATGCACTACCATTCACCAACGCAACACCACGACCGAACATACAGCGTGAAACAAACGAGTATTCCGATTCAAGAGTTCTTCTAAGTGAATCTAAAAAATACAGTGCGACGCTGTGATCCGATTCCCGAACGAATGACTCTTATGAGCCGATTCTCAAAGAATCAAAGAAATACTTAAAATTACTTTTGTCACGTCGGATTGGACATTAAACAAGAACCGTTCATGTGTTATATTGTACTTATTGTAGGCATATGGCAACATGTAGTTACATATACTCAAAATTATTTATGTAATCGATGATATTTTGTTTTAGAAATTAGTAGCCTAATTAATGCATCAGATGTTACCATTTTTATTTTTGTTTAGTACTTTATATAGTAGCCTATACAACGACATAAAAGTCTGTAGAAAGTAATTAAAAGTCGGTGTTACGTACATTACATTTTTTCAGGAACTGTTATATAATGTTCTATTAAAATCTACAACGATTTCATCATTTGAGACTGCTGAAGGCATTATGCAATAAGATTTCACTCTTTCCTAGTGTCTTCCACGAGAATAGGCTACTAATGGAACCGCAAACGAATCGAAATTAAAACGTGATTCGTTGAATTAATTACGATTCCCATATCTAATCGCAAACGCCTGGTTAAACGGAAAGATGTGCGGTTAGAAATGTCGATGGGCTCAACAGCGCTGACAAAGAGCATCTGGTTCATACGCTTACAACGCCGTGCAACAATTGCATCGCCTCGGCTAGCGCCTGCAGCTTGTACCGGGATGAGCAACACACGATGTCTGAAAGCATAAATATAACGGCGGTTCTGCTGTCAGCTGTACACACACAAACGCACACGGAGCTGCCTTACCGTATTCTCCGCGCGACCGCATGATTGCTGATTCGAATTGTTCTCGTGCTGCCGTTGCTCGTTGAGATGAGGGAGGAGGCTCAGACTGTGCTTCAGACACAGGCGCGAGACAGAGCTTGTGGGCACGTGACACACTACTGACATAGCATCTCTGCGCCTCGTCAACGCAATATTGTGCATGCCATCGCAACCTAAAACCACCAAGAGGCTGCTGGAGATGCTTTCACGTGAATCACACGGCGGAAGATAGCACACCCGAATTCCTCCCGGGTGGATTGCTGGTAATCTTAACCTAAACAGAGTCACAAAGTGCACCTCAAAGATCACATTTGTGATTCTACAGCAGTGGTTTTCAGTCCTGGTCCTGGAGGAGCATTGCATGTTTTGGATGTCTCTCTTATATGACACTCAGTTCAGGTCTCGGAGGATCTACAAATGAGCAGATGACATAATTTAGGTGTTTTATATAAGTGATAATATGTATTGGTCTGTGCTATATATTATGCAAGAAGCAGAAGGTCAAATGGGTGTCCAAATATGCATTATTTATAAAACAGTAGGCAAGCAATACCCCGATGATCTACTGCATCCGCTGAGATTCTGTGCCAGTCCATAAGTCCAGGGGATCTGAAAAGCATCAGATTTAAAAATTTGAAAGTGGCCGGAAAAATGTGTGGCTCTTTTCCATAACAGTACAATTTTATCTTATGATCCTCTTCAATAGTTTTTATATGAAAAACACAAACAAAAAGCAAGCATTATGACATTTCAATTGACATAGATGCCTACACACAGAGCACCACAATGAAAGTTAAATCACACATAAAAAATCTGCAACCTAAATGTTGGAGGAAGTAGCCCAGCCCCAGACTTTATTATTTAAAATTTATTAGAGGACTTAGATGTGACTAAAACTTAATTGATCTTATGTCTGTTCAAATGGCTTTTTTTTTCTTTCTTTTTTACACAATATTACGGAGCCCCTAAAGGGACATGGTGGTGGAAAAAAATTCGGGGTGGGAGGAATTTTTTTTTTTTGTTCTCTCGCAAAACTTTTGCGTTTCCCTGAGAAACTTTGCACTCGTTCACAGTCACACTACTTTTGGAAACTATATTTCAGTGCTTTTGAGAATGAAGCAAAGTCAAATGCAGACGTTTTGCAAAAAGAAACAAAAACAGCAAATAATAATTATAATAATAAACTGATCTGTTTTTCTGATCCTAAATCATTGATTTTAGCTGTTTTGTTGTTGTTGTTGTTGTTGTTGTT